TTACCAAAAAGAATATACTAACCTCTTTGACAATGCTCTAGCAATATACAAAAAAGAAAATAAAATTACACTAACTAACATTACGACCTGCAACACAATTCACACTATGCTTAGAAAGATACTTATCTTGCAGTATTTTACAAATATCAATTTAAACTAAACACCTCCCAGAATTCTAGTCAGGGCTATTATATACACTAGAGGCTTTCTACAAATCAAGAACTCAAGTGATGATATATACAAAGAAATCAAGTCTCAAATTAACAAAGCAATTAAAGATAGGCTTATCTTACTACCAGATTCTCCAGACCAAATATCTAAAGAAATCTATGAAGTTCTATCTTTTAGACTACAAATTACCCAAAAGTCATATACTAGAGCAGTTGTAAATATCTTGAGAAGAGTTTTTAAATTCCTTGAACTCCCAGAGACATACTTTGCCAAGCTTCTTTCACTACCTCTGCACTACAATGAACTTATACCTAGTTTGCATTAACTATTTATTAGCAAAAAAAATAGATTGATATATATCGATAGCTAACTAGATAGATAAAAATTGATACTAATCACCCTGCCAATACTAATCAATACAGATAGTAATCAATATATAGCGCATACAATAAATAGCAATAATGTGAATATAACTGATATATAGCATGTTTGATTTATAATATATATCATTTTTATTCAATATATATCAACCCTGCTGGTTTTAAATAAATATGATATTTATATTGATATATATCGTATTCAATTTAGCATATTTATTATTTATCGATATATAGCAATTCGATTTTAGCAAAATATTGTTTACAAATTTGATTTATAGCAAAATACAATGTTAATTCAATTATTATATATTTATTGAAATGTATAATATTTTAAATTTATTAAAAAAAGCAATAATAATGATTTATTATAAAATTTGCAATAATATGCAATATAATATTTATTACAATATAAAATAATACAAATTATAAAAAAAAAATTTATATATATAAAAAAAAACACTAGAATTGATTAACCCCAAATAATTCATCTATCTCTTTTTGAGAAAGTATCATCAACGAACTTCAGGAGGTGGATACAGGCACAGGCTCAGATTCAGGTAAAGATTGCCTTGACTGTTCATTCTGGGAATAACCCGCAAGTTCATTGATCATAATTGCTTCTGCCGAAGTATGATTGAGGCTACTATTTTCAAAATCCACCTATTAAAATAAAATATATATTAATAAATTTTCATTTATTGATATAAAATCAATGCTATGCAACAAATACTTACCAAATATTGATTTATACATTATTTTATAAGCTTATCCTTGCACAGAACATTTCTGGATCAGGATTTAGCAAGATGTCGCATACTGCCAACGTGAATGCATAGTGATGGTTTGTCAGAGTTGGAACT